AGTTGCCACTGGCTGTGCCATGCTCGCTCCACCCCGGCCCCACCGCCTGCCACCACTAATGAGAGCAAATGAAGTGATTTGGAGCTCGTTTGCAGCCTGGCCTCAGCCTGCACACACCGTGAGGAGAAGGCAGGAGGTGAAGGTCGAGCTGACAGCTCAGCTCTGACAGTGTGGGGGCTGGGGACACTCCTGCTCCCCCATCTGCGGCGGGTTTGGTGCCGAGAGGGGCCTCACACGGGGTGACAGCAGCGGTGGCCCATCTGTGGCACATGCCAGCAGTGGYGGCGGGGGCTGTTTCTGGGGAAGGAGCAATCTGGGCTGGGAGAGGGAAGACGCGGGTTTAATGATTGCATTTGACTTTGTAATTCTGGCGGTGATAGCACTCAGCGGGAACCTGAAGGATTCTGTCTGGAAATGCTCTCAAATTATAACCATAATACAAAAGGAAGGAAAGATTGTTTTTCTCCCAGTGCGAACGGAGTCTGCAATAAAAAATACTCCTGAGCCACCCAGCCCCTTCCTCTTGGGTAGGGCCAGATTCTGCCCAGCCCTGAGGAAACCCCTGCAGTCACTGAGGGGGACAAGCCCAGTGCCAGGCTGTGTGCTGTGTTTTGGGGGGTATTTCACAGTCTGAGCTATGGCTGTTCACACAGACCCTCCTGCCATAGGTGACAGTCACCAGAAGAGGAAATGGTGGGAGGAGCAAAAGAGAAGGTGAGGGGTTGACCTGCTTGGCTTTCATTTGCCATGTGGCCACCAGCATGTGGTGGACAATGGTGGGTGACTCTGTGTCCCATGGACACCCAAGGAGCAGGATGAGCTCACAGGGCTCTTCCTGCCTGCATGCCCTGTGGATTACTGTCATCTCTTCCCAGGAGGCCAGAGAAGAGGCGGTGAAGAGCATATGAGGTTTGGTGCAGGCACCAGCTGATGGCAATGCCAGTGCCATGSCAGGACCTTGGCTGCAGGCTCAGGGCTCCCAAGGAGAGCTGAGAGAAGAGCAGGAGGAGCTTTGGGCATCTCCATCCCCAGTGTTGGCTCAATCTTGTGTGTCTCCAGGGTCAAGAAACACATCCCTGAGCAGCCCCTGAAGCTTGGCTGCAGGTGCCCCAGGGGCATTGTGGTGGCCCCACGCACCCCAGGCTGGACTGGCACACAGGGTTGGATGCCAGTGGGTGGCACAAGGTCACTGCATTTTGTAACAGTCCTTGGGGCTTCTGCTCATCCTCTGAAACGCAGGGATGRCTCCTGCTGGAGGGGCTCTTCGCAGCCCCAAAGAGCTGCTCCAACCACACCTGGCTGCCTTCCACTGCCAGGGGAGTAACAGGATACAAAACATGCTGGGAAAGGCTATAGTGCCGGGGAGCTCTTGGCTCATTTTGCCATTCACGGCACAAACCTTTCAGAAATCCACTTTCACAGGAAAAAAATATTTTTAATAGCACTCTGTTTGCAACCACTTAATCAAGGTAATTAGGAGCGAGTCACCCAGAAACAATGTGCAGCGATGCGTCACCGCAGAGCTCGGCGCAGCTTTATCAGGACAGCCCAGGCCTGGCTGGGACACTTGATGGACTGGTCCAGCTCTGAGCACAGCCCCCAGGGTGCTGGGCATCAGCCCTGCCTGCAGCAGCAGAGCAGAGGGATGGAGGGACTGTGTGCATGTCTTGCTGCAGGGGCTGATCCTCCTTTTTCCGTCCTCCATCCATCAAACGGCCGTGCACTGACCCTGGCTCCGGCTGACCCCGGCTCTGCGGCTGCCCCAGCTCGTTACCGGTGCAGCAGGCAGGGAAGGTGGCAGCTCAGCATCCCAGCTCCTCCTCTCGTCCCTTCCAGCGAGCAGCTCGTTCCTCGTGGCTGCAGCCCTCCCTCCTCTCAGCGTGTCACGTCCTAACCCCGCGCCGGAGTCGATGACAGATTGCGGCGAGCGCGGTTATTTTTGTGTTTCCATCCAAAGGCGCGGGCAGATGCTGAGTGTTTGCACTGCATTAGTGCTAATGGCAGCCCCATTAAACCTCACTGCAGATGGGTTGCTATGGAAGTCCGGGGGAAAATGAAACGGGAGCACGATTCTGAGCGGCTGGGAGCTGCTGCCAGCAGTCACTCACGATCCATCTCTACGGGGAAAGTTCCTATTTCCTTACTGCTTTCTGGTGTTTCCAGCTGCACGCTGGCCACGCTGGCCTTTCCGGAGCTGAGTTCAGCCTTCCACCTCAGGGGGCTTTGCAAAGTGCCTCTCTGTTCCCAAAATAATCCTGTCCTGCTTCATCCCTGCTCTTGTGCTCACCCACCCTCAGGCCTCCCCCCATCTGCCAGCTGTACCRAGCTACAGCAGTGTCCCCTGATCAATTCTGGACATCTGACCATTTTCCTTGGTCAGAAGTAGCCTTGGCCTCAAGATCACTCATAGTCTGAGCACCCCTCATGAGTTCCCTCCAGCTTGTTTTACCTCAGGAGTGGGTGGCAGCTCGGAGTGGCATGGTTGGCAGGGATGGGGGCAGTGGGGGATAAATAACTGTGGAGCTCTGGGGCTGTGGGGAGCGACCGTGCCCTTCCCTGCCTGCACAGWGAGGAAGGATCTCTCAGGGATGCACATTGACCCACTGCAGATGGCTGGAGGAGCTCTGGAAAGGTGAAAGCYGGGTCCTGTTGCCAGAGGATGGGCTCCCGCTATGGGACACTGCAACCACCTGGCACTTGGATGGTCAGAAACCACAGCAAATTTCCTGTTTGCAGCATCTTGGCCAGCCATTCTTTCCAGGGAGAATCTTCTGGCCTACAGGCTTCCGTCCAGGGGTCCACTGGGATAGTCTGGCTCCACTCCATGCAGAACCATGAGGGTTTGTCCTTTGAAGCACACCAGGGCTGTTCCCCTGCTCTGGATGTCCCTAGTCCTGTCCCCCAGCTGTGGCAGTGGTGCTGAGCCCTCCCTGTGCAGACCATCCCCAGCAGCAAACAGAGGTGCCAGGACTCTAGCCCACACTGCAGTGCTGTTTTCCAGTTTTCCATCCTCTATTTGCTGCCCTGCTTGGGCAAGGGACCTTCAAAAGTACCTATGAAAATGCTGAAAGGTCATGTTGAGCTTTTTTGCTGCCATCCTTTGTATCCATCCTAGCTGACAAGCAGCCATGTGGCCTGTCAGACATCCCAGTCAKCTCCACGTTCTCCCAGCTCTTCTCCATCTGTGTACTCCGCTTTCCTCGCGAGTTTTCCAGTGCCTTTGGTTCTTTTCCAGACCTTCAGCCCCATCCCAGCAGCATCAGCAGGGTCTCAGGTGTCCCACACTCTCATGGTGAGTGGGAGGGGGGCTGTGCTGACCTGGGAGATGCTGTCAGAGGTGCAGATCTGCACTGCCAGCCACAAAATGCATCCTAGGGCATAATCATCATCATTATCATCATCATCATCATCATCACTGCATGTCGGTCTGCTGGGGCTGCTGGAGCTATTTGTGCCTTTAAGGGACACTCCAGCGCTGCAGAGATCCATCCCTGCATTTATGTGCGCTTGGCAGGATTATATAAATTGCCTTTAAAAGTTGACTTCTTTATAAGCCATTTTCTGCTTCATAAAATGTTTATTACTGTTGTTTTTCTCCCAGTCTTCTTCCTCACTGCATTTTCCATCAGTACTGGGAAGCTCCCCTCTTCCTCTGCCTGCTGCCCCCCTGCCTCCCACCTCTTCCCACCTTCTGATGTTGGAAACGGTCCTTCGAAGGATCAGAGCCCAGCAGGCCCTTTCTCCTTGGAAAAGAAAAACAGCTGTACATTGAGTTATGGATGTAGGAGCTGCTGAGGATAGGGTTTAACTGGCAGGTGTTTTTGGGGTGGCAGGGGGATCACAGTGCTGGACAGCCCCACGCCGCTGCCTCCATCCATAACCCCTGCCTGCAAGCACGGGAGAAATAACAAAGCCCTGAAATAACAAAGCCYTGATAATTTCAAGCTCCATTAGAAACACAGCTCCAGGGAGAAGGGGATCGCTGTTCACCACATGGGGATGGTCAGGAGGAATAACAGAGACTGCTCCTGACCACCCAGGAAAGGTGTGGGGTAAAGCAGGGGGACATGGCAGCAGGGCTGGGTGCCTGGCCATGGCCACACAGCCCTGGGTACTGCAGGATCCTGCTCCATCCTGCTCCATCCTGCTCTCCATCCTGCTGTTCCATCCTGCTGCTCTGTCCGGAATTCTGGGTCCATGTGTGTGGAAGCAGCAGCCATGCCATGCTGTGCCGTGCTGTGCCGTGCTGTGCCGTGCTGTGCCATGCTGTGCCGTGCTGTGCCGTGCTGTGCCATGCCATGCGTGGGCTCTGGCAGCCATTCCCATGGGTTGGGCATGGCCACGCAGGCAGGGCTTTGTGTTCAAAGCAGCATCAGAAGGGCGAACGCCAGCTCCTTATCCCCCTTTCATTTTTCTCCTCCTTTAATTACAGATCCTACTTATCGGCTGAGAACAGAAAGATTGTCACCGTAACCTTGCACTTGCCCTTGTAGAAGGTTTACCTAAAAAGTTAGAAAATAAAATCAAATACTCTAATTTGCAGTCGTCTTGCCATTTCAAACCCAGTTTTCATTACAGCACAGAAAGTGCATTGAAGCTGTGTTTATAACCCCCTT